AGCACGTCTTCAACAAGGGCGTGTCTTGTGTTCTTACTGCAGCCCTCTGAGTACCTGCGTGTTATCGCCACGTCTGTCTTCGAGATCTGCATGTTTTCAAGCTCTCGCCATTGTTGCATGCGTGGGTGTGCTTCTCGTCAACACTCGTGCTGTGCTTGTCTCTGTGACGCATAATTGTACCACCGCTTCGCACGCTTTTTTCGACCCTCGCCCAATTCGCGGCCCGGGGTGCCCACGCAGTGGGTGCCCCTGCGTGGGTGCCCCTTACTCGGAATCTTTAAGAAACAACACGTTCGGTCAGACAAAACGTTCGACCACGATCGTATGAAAGGGAAAAGGAAATACGGTAGCGGTGATGTGTTGCTTGCAGTACTACAGACACTTCAATGTGTCGAGAAGCTTCGTGTTTTTTCACGTTTGGATCAGTGACCGTTAAACTGATGTACCCTAAAGCTGCAACTTATTAAAAAAAGCTTGGCCGTCAGGCCGTCTAGGGTGCTCCCTGAAACCGCTGCTGCTTGAAAAAGATCGCGCTTTCTTCGGGAGAAAGGGAACGAACAAGGGTATCTCTGGGCGCGAACTGCTTAAAAACTGCATCAACTGACTGTTAACACACGAAACGCGCCAGTTTGTGGTGGATGGGATGTTTCTCCCTTGTCCCGTCATGCAGCTGGTTGAGTTTGGTCTTTCTTGGGTGCCTTTTCGCAGGTCCCTCAGTGCCGCATCGACTTTGTTGAGCTTCTGGCGGTTAACGAGAGAGATCTCGCCGACTATCGTGCAGTGGACTTGGTAGTGGATACGCTTGCAAGACTCCTCTCTGCAAATGCGGTCACCATCGACTGTCTGCTGCTTCCCCGCTTGCGCCGCAGCCTCTTCTCGCCACTCTCGGAGTCATCGAAGACGTGCAGGAGCGAATCGACTGTCGAGCCTTCGGTGTTATCTGCAGCCACACCGGTAAGTGCCGCCAGACATAGCCAATGTCAGCATTGCAGTTCAGCAGAGCAAGCCTTCACGGCTTCCATGACGGTCAGGCACATGCGCAATGCCGCGATGTATTTACTGTCCCTCAGGTCTTTGTAGTGGTTCAGCAAGTGGCTGCAGATGATTTGGAACGCCCGCATCTGCTCTTCGTTAAATTGGTAACGGCTCGCCCAGTGCTGAGAAGGTCCTGTCGTCGACCGTCTCAGGCGGCTTGAATGCGGACGCCGGCTGCGCCAGCAATCGAGTGAGGTCGGCAGCATCCATTGAGTGACCACCGTGTGTGAAGATATTCGAAGAGAAGCTACTCAGGAGGCTTGCTTCATCTAACGTGGCGCGGCTGTGGCCGATTTCATTTACCTTGTTGCGTTGCTGGTGCAGGTCATCGTTGGGCTGATCCTGGCGGCTCCCATTGGATTGACAAGCCGATTGATAGTCATCGAAGGCAGTCTTCAATAGCCCCTTCAACAGGCTCGCTAGATTGATACATGTCTATTGATATCATCGCTGGATATCGATAGGTTCACATCCAATTGCTTCCAGCGAGACATTGATATGCTTGGCGAAGCACGTCTTCAACTCGGGCGCAACAGGAGCGGCAACATGGGGCGTGTCTTATGTTAGCCCTCTGAGTACCTGCATGTTATCGCCACGTCTGCCTTCAAGATCTGCATGTTTTTCGAGCTCTCGCCATTGTTTCATGCGTCGATGTGCTTCTCGCCAACACTCGTGCTGTGCACGTCTCTGTGACGCATAATTGAACCACCACTTCGCACGATGCTTTCGACTCCCGCCCAATTCGCGGCCCGGGGTGTCCACGCAGTGGGTGCCCCTTACTCGGAATTCCTAATGCTGTGTGCGAAAAGGGGTGTTGCGGAATGATGCGCTCACAGGCTGGAGAACAGTTATACGCGCCCTAGAGCCATGCGAATGCGAATGCGAAGTAGAGGATAGATAGATGGATGGATAGCGCAGCCGCTCTCTCTCTGTCTACCTGTCCCTCCCGAAATCGGACAAAAGACTCTTGCGTGTTCCGTGAAGGCTCTTTGTGCTTGGTGTGCGTTAGCCGATACCTCGCTTGACCACTGTGTTACGCAACTCGCCATAGCTCTAGCACCTACGACTGAACAGGATGACGGAACACCTTCGTGAGCAGGCCATTTCTCTCTGCTGTGGTTGCTTGGGTACTCCTTTTCAGCACTCTCTTCCTCGTCATTCGAACAGCTTCACGAGTGAAGGGGAAGTGCAAGCGGGAGAAGGAAAGACTACCGCTGCTGACGGACAGAAAAGAGAGACAGCTGAAGAGTACAGGGTAGGTAGAGGGGGTTGGGGAGGAAATTCGTGTACGTGTGTCCTGGACATACATCCATCGTATCCATCCTGTGTATCGTTTCGCCTTTCAGGTCGTGGTTCGCGAGGAGAGGTAGGATCAACAGCAGCAAACGGATGTGATGCTGAGGAATGTATGCATTGGAGGACTCAGTCATAGCTTCACGTACCGTAGCACACGTAAGTGCATATGCATATTGAGTTGGCCAGGTCGAGGTAGAGACTGTGTGTGTTTGGTGTGCCTGTGCTTGTTATGTTCTGGTGTAGATGCAGAATATTCTTCCAATGTAGCAACCTTTCCGGGCCTCACAAGCGGGTCTCACGAGCCGCCTAGCACATGTAAGTGCATATGCGTATTGAGCTAGCCAAATTGATGTAGAGACTGTATGTTTGGTGTGCCTGTGCTTGTTCTGTTTAGGTGCAGATGGAGAATCTTCTTCCAATGTAGCAACGTTTCCGGGCCTCACAAGCGAGCCTTACGCGCCTCATGAGCCGCCTAGCATACGTAAGTGTATATGCGTATTGAATTATTGAGCTAGCGAAGTCGAGGTAGAGACTGCATGTTTGCTGTGTCTGTGCTTGTTGTGTTTAGATGCAGATGCAGAACCTTCTTTCAATGTAGCAACGTTTCCGGGCCTCACAAGCGAGCCTTACGAGCCTCATGGGCCGCTTAGCACACGTAAGTGCATATTCGCATTGAGTTATTGAGCTAGCCAAGTCGAGGTAGAGACTGTGTGTTTGCTGTGGCTATGCTCGTTGTGCTCTGGTGCAGATGCAGAACCTTCTTCCAATGTAGCAACGTTTTCGGGCCTCACAAGCGAGCCTTACGAGCCTCATGGGCCGCTTAGCACACGTAAGTACATATGCGTATTGAGTTATTGGGCTAGCCAAGTCGAGGTAGACATTGTGTGTTTGGTGTGCCTATGCTCGTTGTGTTCCGGTGCATGCAGAACCTTCTTCCAATGTAGCAACATTTCCGAGCCTCACAAGCGAGCCTGACGAGCCGTGGGGTTTCTTGATGATGAAGAAGCCCTGTGGCGGCATTATTTGGCTAACTGACCGCCCGCAGATACACTTTGGGTCGATCTTCGGGCTCGTTATTCTCTTCGCTGCTATGGGGGCAGCGATGTCGGGATATATTTTGACGCGCGATTGGTCGTGTCCTTGGGAGGAGCTGGGAAAATCTTGTTCATGGGAGGACGAGACGATCATGGTTGCCGTCGGAATAGGCGTGGCAGCATCAGTGGTGCTCGTCTTACTCACAGGGATCCTGTCGCTTGTCCTACGGCCCCTTTCTTCCTGGATGCGGGTCCTAATGAATCTCTCAATTGGGGCACATACTTTTGTTGGTTGCGGATCTGTTGGTTCCGGAGATTATATCACGTGGGTATGGTTAGTGATCGGCGCATTGGTCCAGTTTTTGCTTTTTGTTCTACTCGCTGAGCCTCGAACTTTACACACTGGCGAGGATGCTGGAGAGCCAAGTAGCTCGCTTAGTATTTGTCCATCTCCGATTGCCACCGCTCTGGCCAAGGGAAGGTCGGAGGAGTTTTTATCCGCACCATCTTGACCAAAGCATCTCAAGTATGTCATATATCTATCAACGACCTCGCCTTTGACAGGGTATTGAAACTGAGTATGCTCCTTTTTCTAGCTGCCGACCTTTTGTCGGATTTGCTAGTTGGGATCCAACTTGGCTGGGCCTGGGATCATTCTCTACAAGATGGAGGTCGAAACGTCCCTGCAGGCATCATTATTTTATGTCTCTCTGCAGTGGATTTGATTTCTTTGAATGTGCACTATGCTGTGACTGGACCTCCTTCTCTTCGCCAGCATCTCTATATCTTGCTCTTTGCACTGCCTGAAGTATTTATTCTAGTGTTAACGGTTATGTACACTGAGAAACAGTGGGGGAACTTGAAATCTTGGAAGAAAGGTATTTTCGTTTTTTCTGCCATCATGACAAGCTCCACTGTTAGTTACCGGTTCATCAGTTTTCTTTTGAATGCTCGAGAGAAGCAGCAGTCAATCGGTAAGCTGCTGTGGCAGGAGTGCCGGTCGCATTGTCAGGGGTCTCAATTGCGAAAAATCGCTTCACTGCTTTTACTGGCCCTTAACATTGCGTGGAACGTTTACATGGCATATGGGGTCTTCGAATTTGAAACGATGATTGCAGGCCTCACTATTGGTGTGATGACTGTTGTAGAACTTATTTCTATTCTGCTCATTGCCATTCGTAAGACACTTCTGACCTCTCACGATCTCTGGATGGTTTCTTTTGTTATACCGGATGTGGCAATCCTTGTGTTGATCCTTATATATACGCACATCCTAGTACCCACTGTGATTCTCAGTTCGTGCACGATTATATGGCGGCTTTCTATATTTTTCTGCCGCTGGCGAGAAGTTCGCAAAGCAGTAGTGCAAAACAGCTAGGAAGGTGCATGTAAGATGCTTGCTGTGCTCGCCGTTGAGGGATGTAGCATATGTTTATTTTCTTGTGATACTTTTTCTAAGGGAAGAAGGGGGGAGGGAGGCAAGATATAAGATATGCGCTTCATGAGCCGATGCGGATTGCCTTGTTTATGGGCTGCTGTATCCTCACTGACTTTGCAGTTCAGTTGCGTCTTCTGTCAAGCGACTGATGGCAGGAAGGCAAGGGAGAAGAGTGAGGAAAGCGAGAGGGATGGATGGAGCAGGAATGCTGTGAATCACGGCAAAATCAATGCTGTGGATCATGGCATAATTAATCTTATCTGAAAGCTTCCTTCACATGGCTGACTGACTCGATAGTAGAGTCGATATCTGAAGCTAGAAACGTCTATAGATGGTTTTTTTGTTTATACCTGATATGGCAATCCTTGTGTTGATCCTTATGTACACACACAACCTAATACCCACCATGATTCTCAGTTCGTGTACGATGATATGGCGTCTTTCTATATTTTTCTGCCGCTGGCGAGAAGTTCGCAAGCAATAGTGCAAAACAGCTAGGAATGTGCATGTAAGATGCTTGCTGTACTCGCTTCATACTTACTTTTTTGGAAGGGAGAGATTTATATAAAAGGGGCGACCAGTGTGTCTGATCAGTCTTTCATGCAGACGTGAACATTGCTTCCATGAACTGAAACAGAGCTGAGGAATAAAAACTATCTCCATACCTCACACTCATGCACGCTCCAGAAATCAAGAGAAATCAAATGGCTGTATGGGCCGTGTGTGTAGTCTGTACGGCCCTCTGCTTATCTCCATTCCTTCGCAAAAACGTCTGCAAAGTCAGGCTCCTGTGCTTCAGCTGCTCTGTGAGATCTGCTGGACATCTGGTAGGCATTATACTTCATGAGCCCCACAGACAAACACTGCGTCCAATGGTTAACGATCCCCTCTCGAAAAGCAGCATCCTCCTCTGATGTACATCCCGCCGGGCGACGCTTCCTCTTGGCTAGTTCCCTCAAGAGCTTGATGGTCTGATCGCCTCGTATTCCGAAGGTCTCCGCGATGAGAGGGATGAACTTGAAACCATGACTTCGACAGGTAGCTCCATGCATGCGCACACCTGTATAGTTCGATAAAGCGTGTTTCATTCTGGTAAGATTAGGACAGTAAGAAGACTTCTCTTGGATTCTTCGAAAACCACCATATCTTTCAGGTTCAACGGAACTTTGCAGAATCTGGCCAGCCAGAGTGGACAACTGAACAGGCTGCGTGAGACGCGGTTCTGCTCGCACTGACACGATAAGAAGACGTCCTCAATATTCTTCCAAAAGCATTGATTGTGTCTTGGAGTCCCAATTAAGCTTTGCAGAATCTGGATTGGACGGCTGAACAGGCTACCTGAAAGACGGCTTTTCAAGTTTTCATTCTGCTGAGATTAAGACAGTAAGAAGACTTCTCTCGGATTCTGCCAAAAGCACTCTATCTTTCAGGTTCAACGGAACTTTGCAGAGCCTGAAATGGAGCTCTGAACAGATTGCGGATGGAGCTCTAAACAGATTGCGTTGAGAGACTACCACTTTGCAAGCTTTCATTCTGTTTGCATGCGCAGGTGTGCGCATTGAGACATTCATCATATCCACACACTCCAAGACCAAACGTGCATATCGCAGATGTGCGCAGAGAGACATTCATCGTATACACACACACACACACACACACACTCTTAGTCGACACGTGTATGCGCAGGTGTGCGCACAGGGACACCTGCGCACAGAGACATTCATCGTATATACCCACTCCAAGTCCAATCGTGCATGCGCAGTGTGCGCACATTCATCGTAGACACACACACACACACACACTCTCCCAGTCCAATCGTGTATGCGCAGGTGTGCGCACAAGGCCATTCATTACATACACACACTCCAAGTCGACGCGTGTACGCGTAGGTGTGCGCACACAAACATTCATCATATTTACACACGCAAGTCCAAACGTGCATGCGCAGGTGTGCGCACAGAGACATTCATCATATACACACCCTCCAAGTCCAAACGTGCATGCGCAGGTGTGCGCATACAGAACACACCCCAAGTCTAAATGTGCATGCGCAGGTGTGCGCACAGAGACAATCATCATATACACACACTTCTCCAAGTCGACGCGTGCATGCGCAGGGGTGCGCACAGAGTCCTTCATGATAGACACACACTCCAAGTCGACGCGTGCATGCGGAGGTGTGCACACAGAGCCATTCATGATAGACACACACTCCAAGTCGACGGGTGCATGCGCAGGTGTGCGCATGGCTCCCAGATTTGAGCCTCAAGATGACAGCAGGGCGGCGCTCATCCCCTTGGCTTTGTCTTTCTTGTCGATGGCCTCAACGCGATCATACAGCCAGGAGTCGACGGGTGAGTGGCTGCAGCATGAAGTAAAAGAGAGATGAGCGACACATACAGAGGGACTAAGTCTGCGTGGATGTGGCTTACGGCGTTTCCGCAAGCACGATGGAGTGCTCGAAGCGCTTCGTGGGAATGGAGTCGATGGGGTCCTTCGTCTCAGGATCATTGCCGCCATATACCTGCATACGACATCAGCACAGCGTCGCAGCAACGCGATGCGACACGTGTAGTTGCCTATGCACGTATGGACCCTCCATTCGTTGACATGCCTCCAGTCCAACTGAAATGAAGAGAGGCGTTCTTGTCGTCCATTACGAGCTGCCGGTTGGCTGATGGCACCCTCCACTAAGGGTATTTTGACGCACGATACGCCATACCTAAATGGGTTTAAGGATATGGATGTGCATGACATAAATTCCCAAGGACCTGTACCGGCTTTGACAGACAGCTCCAGCACTTTTTCTCCCTTCCGTGTGGCCAAGACGTCAATGTCACGCTCAGAGGCGAAATTCAATGGCAACACACGTGATATGCATGCACGTATGTAGCAGTGCTTGCTGCTTGCCCCCGCACGCACAGGCACCGGGTCTAGTATGTACCCCGGCCATTCCAATGGGGTGTTTTCCATCCGTCTCCACCCCACCGAGCCCATAATAGTGAGCGGCGGGTGGGACCATGCCGTGCAGCTGTGGGATATGGTTGATGGTGTCTCTCTCAGGAGGGCCGCTGGCTCATGTACGATCCACATACGACAGAGGCACGCTTTGACTCGAAAAATGCTGACCGTGTCGGCGAGACACAGCCGACAAGCAGACACCATGGTCACGATGACGTCAACGGCGTGTTTAGTTTGTGGTTTGTGGTGCGAGTGGTCCAGCAAGTGTGTGAGCGTTTCTACTGGATGCTGTTGACCGACAGCTTTATGTCGATGAACGGATGGTTCAGACGAAATGAACAGATGTGGTGCTTGATGTGGCTGGTATACTGAAAGATGATGTCAAGAGAAACATCAACTGATGATGGATCAATAGATAAATAGGTTGATGGATAAGGGATGAGATTTTGTAGTGAGGCATTACTATATTATGAATGTTTGTGTGCGCACAACTGCGCATGCACGTTTGGACCTGCAGTGTGTGTATATGATGAATGTTTCAGTGCGCACACCTGGGTATACACGTGTCGACATGGAGTGTATGTATATAATGAATACCCCTATGCGCACACCTGCGCATGCACGTGTCGACTTGGAGTGTGTGTATATGGTGAATGTCTCTGTGCGCACACGTGCGCACGCACGTGTCGACTTGGGGTGTGTGTATGTGATGAAGGTCGGGTGTGTGTATGTGATGAAGGTCTCGGTGCACACACCTGCGCATGCACGTTTGGACTTGGAGTGTGTGTATATGATGAATGTCTCGGTGCGCACACCTGCGCATGCACGTGTCGACATGGAGTGTGTGTATGTGATGAATGTCTTTGTGCGCACACCTGCGCATGCACGTTTGGACTTGGAGTGTGTGTATATGATGAATGTCTCGGTGCGCACACCTGCGTATGCATGTGTCGACTTGGAGTGTGTGTATATAATGAATGTCTCTGTGTGCACCCCTGCGCATGCACGTGTCGACTTGGAGTGTGTGTATATAATGAATGTTTCAGTGCGCACACCTGCGCATGCACGTTTGGACCTGCAGTGTGTGTATATGATGAATGTTTCAGTGCGCACACCTGCGCATGCACGTGTCGCCTTGGAGTGTGTGTATATAATGAATACCCCTATGCGCACTGAATGTATCAGTGCGCACACGTGCACATGCACGTGTCGACTCGGAGTGTGTGTATATGATGAATGTCTCTGTGCGCACCCCTGCGCATGCACGTTTGGACTTGGAGTGTATGTATATGATGAACCTCTCTGTGCGCACACGTGCGCACGCACGTGTTGACTTGGGGTGTGTGTATATGATGAATGTTTCAGTGCGCACACCTGGGTATGCACGTGTCGACATGGAGTGTGTGTATATGATGAATGTCTCTGTGCGCACCCCTGCGCATGCACGTGTCGACTTGGAGTGTGTGTATATAATGAATGTTTCAGTGCGCACACCTGCGCATGCACGTTTGGACCTGCAGTGTGTGTATATGATGAATGTTTCAGTGCGCACACCTGCGCATGCACGTGTCGACTTGGAGTGTGTGTATATAATGAATACCCCTATGCGCACTGAATGTATCAGTGCTTTGGAATGATTACCCCAATGCGCACACGTGCACATGCACGTGTCGGCGTGGAGTGTGTATATGATGAATGTCTTGGTGCAAACACCTGCGCGTGCACGTGTCGACTTGGAATGTGTGTATGTGATGAATGTCTATGTGCGCACACGTGCGCATGCACGTGTCGACGTGGAGTGTGTATATGATGAAGGTCTCGGTGCACACACCTGCGCATGCACGTGTCGACGTAGAGTGTGTCTATATGGTGAATGTCTCTGTGCGCACACGTGCGCATGCACGTGTCGACGTGGAGTGTATATGTGATGAATGTCTATGTGCGCACACGTGCGCATGCACGTTTGGACTTGGAGAGTGTGTATATAATGAATACCCCTATGCGCACACGTGCACATGCACGTGTCGGCGTGGAGTCGGGCCCTCCCTCCGTGAGCGAGATGCCGAGCCGGGCGGTCGACAACGGGGAGGATGAGGGGCAGCTCGTGACCACGACCACCACCGCTGCGCCCACTACACCGCCGCCTGAGGACGTGCCTCCCGTGACCATACCGTCGCAGCTGGTGGAACAGCAGACGGAAGAGCTGGACAGAGATAGGCAGCCAGAGGCAGGGGAGGGGGTCCGTATGCCTGCCGCTCACATTGTTGGTATCTGTCGTCTGCATTGCAGCCAATGAGTCGGCTCCAGACAAGATGGAAGAACAGAGAGAAGATATGAAGGAAGAAGGCAAAAACAAGAGACACATATTCCGTATGTGTATATGGTACATACATACACATACACACGTCTGTCTGTGTGCTGTGTGTGCAGCAGAGAAGGCATTAAATGAGGCCGAGAGGGCGGTCGAGGGCACCACAACGACTGTCGTGCCCATTGCAGCTGACGTCGAGTCGCCAAGCCCCACGCCATACGTGACAGTTGACATTGTGTCTACGTCTACTTTCAGCCCGCCCGACACAGAAGGACCGTCCTGGTGATACATGGTTGTTTGCATGGATAGACCAATGAGCCACGGCATATACATGTCATCGCATGGAGAACGCATGGAGAACGCATGGAGAGACCCATAAGGCATTCATTCATATGTACACGTACGATATCAAAACAACCTTGGCCGACCGAACACGTACACAGAACAGATAAATGCCTGAGAAATTTAACCGGGATCGGCGTGGGAGACGTCACGATCGCGAAGAAGTGACCGCCATCTCGGTGTCTGTGTGTGATTCGTCAATGGTCTGTGCCTGAGGGATGAGTGATGAGGTGAGGAATGAGACTTCTTCATTTCGGGCCAAGGGATCGATTGATTCGTCGTGTTTGTGTCAAGGAATCAGTCAACGAACCATCGCGTGTGTTGTGCTCAACGCGTGGCAAAAATACGTGCACACGCAGATGTGTATGTGGACACGTCGATTTTGCAGAGGCAGACACATCCATGTGTGCAGGATGCCAAACTGCGAGTCCCGATGACCGTTGCTGTGTCTCGTGCAGTCACGCGTGTGGACGCATTCATTCATTTTGAGTACTCAAGGAATCCCACCAAAAACACACCGATACGTCACAGCATTACAGCCAACATTTAGCTGTCCCAACCGTCCGCTACATATAGGGACGTCACACAGAGACGAACACACCAAATGAATAAATGCATGAACAAATGCGTGAACAGACGTCAGAACACGGGAAATATGTGGTCAGTCTACATACACGTGCCACAGGGAAGGCCACATCACATCCTACACACACGCCCACCAAGGAATTGACTCCTAACACAAGCGAAAGCAGCAAGACAGGCGAGGAAGGGGAAGGGAGGTAAGGAAAAAGACGGAAACGAGGAAGGGGGACGGGAAGAGGGAGGCGTCATCATCCACCAGGGCAAGAGCGGTTGAAGCAGCCAGCCATGCCAGTGATGCAGACAAGGGAGAATGACCCGGCAGGCCTGGCTAAGACAAGAGGCTCACACGGTGCCATGAATGCTGTATCCCGTCCTCCCGCCCTCTGCCCCCATACCTCTCGTATACCATGCACCCACATACCTCGCCCGGCGAAAGAGAATAAGCACACATCGCAGCCCACACCAGCCACCCGAGCATCCCCAGTTAACGATTCACCAAACACCACTCACTGCCACAGAAAACCTTCCTAACAAACACGACACGAGAAATATGTGGTCAGTCTACATACATGTGCCGCATGGAAAGGCACATCACATCCTACACACACCCGACCAACCAATTAATCACGGCACGAATTGAGTTAGATGGTCACCGCCCGCCCGGCAATTCATTCACTGCGGCGCACATGCAGCTATCGAGAGCACATCCTCTTGGCTGTCCACGTGCACCGGCAGCAGCCACATGCCGTACTCGAACGACGCGGGCGACCTGTCCTGCGTGGTGGGTCGGATGAGGTAGGGCTCGTACATACACGGATACCAGCTCAACTCACCACGACACCCATGTGCCTACACACAGCAACACTCAACACCCATGTTATGCAGTCCCTCGCCCTCCCTGGTCCGTCCGTGTGGATGTATGTATACATATTTGTGGTCAAGATGCAGGTGGACGGGCGAGCGGACGTGTGCATTGGGGTCCACATCGATGCCCTGGCCGATATCGCTCGTGTGGGCTGCACCCATCAGCTCCTTGACGCTGTAGCGGGACGCATTAATGTGCAGCAGAGGCGGTGTGTGTGGTGGGCAGTCTTGCTGAGGGGAGGCCTTGAAGTGGGCCGCCTTGATGTGCAGGCAGCTGCCAGTGGTGCGGTTTGCGGGGCCATGTGTCTTGGACGTGGTGTGGAGGGCCGCCCACTGAACGTCACACTTGCCGCCGTGCTCGGACGGCTTGACGTAGGGCACGTACTGGTCATCCACTGTGCTGCGATACACGCCCTGCATGCACGCACGTACATGGACGGACATCAGAGCTTCATATGCATCCATGCATATACATGTATCTCTCTGTGTGTAGCTGCCTTTCTCACCTGAAATGCGCTCGATTTCCTATCGTTGTATTTCTCGTGCGGCCCTCGTCCCTTCCACACCAGCTGGCTGACGACACGCGGGAAAGGGGGAAGGATGCGGGCCGCTTGGGGAGTCACGCATACGCGGCAGCCGAGATTTACTGCACCAGTGGGGAAAATCGTGTAATGGTAGTCCACCTGCACAAAGAAAAACGAGAAGAGACCGCTGGAGAGGGTCTTCTTATGTGCATGGGTCAGAGTGTGCACGGGTCGGTGCGTGTGCCTGGAAGTAAGGATCGATTGCTTGGCCGGGTGCGATAGTCTGGGCGAAAGACACCTCGGCGACCTTGATGCTGCCGCCTGACGGATTCTCCAATGTGCGCACGTGTTCATCGAAGTGCCCGATGGGCTTGTGTAGGTCGTAGAGCTTGGCCCTCCCCCAACGAGACGCGTAGTTGATGACCTCACTTATTGGAGACCTGCACACACAAGTACAGAAGAGCTATTTCCATGCCTGACCAGCGTGCTGCATGTTTGCTGTCTCACCTGTTCATGGCGATTCTGAGTATTTTGCTAGAGAACGACAAAATGTTGCCGAGCCCCTTTTCAAAGACCTGCCTTGCGATGTCGAGGACACCGCCAGCAGTCGCTCCCCCGCGATCGTTGTCAGTTGGCGCGCGGACAAAGCACACCGACGGGCCATGACCGTCCCAAATGTACTCAATCGCGAACTCCCTGACCACCAACACACACATGGGTGCGTAGCAGAAGCGTGGTTTCCCTCCTTTCGCCCTCATTACTGGTCAGGCTTTGTCGCGAGGTCTGCCCACTCCTGTCTTGACCAAGGTATGGCCACCCACGATATGAGCCCCCCCAGTCGGCCGCGGTCGAAGGCGAGCTTGAAGTCCTCTCCCTGCACCGCCACGTAGTCGCCGCAGTCCTCTATCGTCAGGTCCTTAGCGGCATCACCACCGGCAGGCGGGAAGCGCAGAAAGGTTTGGGGGCCGGGGGCGGTCGGGAGAGCGTCGCGGAAGCTGTCGGTCAGAGAGAGGCGCTCTGTCGCCACCACATGCCTGCACGGACAAGACACACAGGAACACCGTGATGAGTGCTGTGGCCAGGCGTGCTCGTGCTGGCTTACCCTTCATCAGCCCATTTAGTCGTCTTGCCGAGGATTGCCCTCACAGTGATCCACACGTCAGGAATGCAGCCCTCCTTCCCCCCTTCTGTGCCCATGGCAGCGTTCTTGGGCGGCATCCTGCCCTCGACCGTGACCTCCTCGCCTGCGCCAGGCTCGAGCGTCGGGCACTTGATAGCCTGGCTCTCGTAGGCATCGAATGCCGTGTCGGTGCTGAAGACGGCCTCAAAGCGGATCATGTCATGTGTGACACTCTGATGGATGAATTGATTAGTGATGCGGATCGTCACCGTGACCGTGTCGCCGCCTGGTGCTGCCTTGGCGCCGAGGAGGTGGACGGCGATCGGCTGGTAGAAATACTTGACCTCGTGCATGCACGGCTTGATGGTGCGGTCCGGCAGCACGAGGCCGTTGATGTTGAAGTTGGCATCGTTGATGGTGTCGCCGAAGTCGCCGCCATACGCCCACGCCTCGATCTTGTCGAACGTCTTGGGGACGCACTGGTCGACCCAGCCCGATATGAACCCGCCCTGCAGGTTGGCGTGATGGCTGAACGCCTCCCAGTACTCCCTGAAGCTGCCGTTGGAGTTGCCCATGGCGTGCTGGTACTCACACAATATCATCGGACGCTTGTCTGCAGCAGGCAGGCAGAAACACAACAGACACACGAATATCACGCACGGTCCATGGCTGCATGCCCGCCATCTCTCGCCGTCTCTCCTCGTGTACCTGTCTGCTGGTGGCCGTATTGCTTGATGACCTCTACCGGCGGGTACATGGGGCATTTGATGTCCGACACGTCAATGGGAGACCCACCACACTCGTACTGCACAGGCCTGGCCGGATCGTAACGCTTCAGCCACCGATATGCTGCCCGCACGTTGGGCCCCGTGCCCGCCTCATTGCCGAGGGACCAAACGATGATGGAGGGGTGGTTCTTGTCCCGCTGGGCCATGCGTGTGACGCACGCGAGCCACTGGCTGCGGTACTCGGGGTCCGATGCGAGGCGACTGAAAGGGATCTCACTCGAGTTGAAGAATATGTACCTGATATATCCAGGAGCGGGCAGTGAGAACGGCGATCGTCACTTGTGAAGTGTGTGCGGTAGGTGTTAGTTACTTTAGGATGGGTGAGTAGCCTTTGCCGTGGCACTCGATGTTAGCCTCGTCCACAACTGAACGTACACATCCATACACACATGCATGAATGCGGCAATGAGGGGCGTTTACATGTGCGTGTTGTGTTGGTTTGTTTGTCGTCTTACCGAATAGGCCGAGTTCGTCGCACATGTCGTATAGGAATGGTGCGTTGGGGTAGCGAGACGTCCGCACGGCGTTGATGTTGTGCTGCTTCATCAGACGCAAATCCGCCCATGTCGACTGAAGCGACACCGCCTTGCCTGCGCCACGACACACATCACGACACAATACAACACAACAAGGATACAACAAGTGAGCACACTCTCTCTTCCCTTGTTTGCTTTGTGCACCTGCTTTCGGGTCATGTTCGTGACCATTGACACCTCTGACAACAATCGGCCTGCCGTTGACCATCAGCTGGCTCTCACGTATCTCCACAGTGCGGAAGCCGACCCTCATCCCCTCCCACTGCAGCGCCTCACTTTTGCCCCCCTCCAGCAGACCGATGGTCATGAAATACAGGTTGGGAGTCTCGGCAGTCCAGGGGCGGACAGACGGCACGCGCACCGTCCACTCGAGAAATGCGTGATGGTCTTGGCCTGCGGATGTCTCAGCAAGCAGAGGGATCTCTTCTCGCTGCTTGAATGGGGCTGCATCGGTTGATGTCTGTTGGCCACCGGTGACGGCCTCTGTGTGCTCGAAGATGGGCGACAGGTCCTGATCGACACATGCGACAGTCGATTTGGGTGTGAGGGAGGCACGAGCGGCGTGTGTGCCGACTTACCGGCAGTCTGATGTCTTGTTCGGTCGATGGGTCCATGGTGAAGCCCTCCCAGTCATAGAGGCGGAACTGGACAGAGTAGCTCTTGTCATCCTGGAGGCCGTCCAACTGCACACGAGCCTTCAGTATGCCATCCCTGCAATTAAGGCAAGAGCACATGCATGTGTCTGCCGTTGGCTCACACCCTCCTTGCTGTTCCTTGCTGTCTTACTGGTATTTGTTGTCGAGTGTGGCCTGCACGACGTAGTCACTGATGGTTGTGCTGGGCGCTGCGAATGTCTCCACGTCTCTGAATACGCCCGATGTCCACCAGTGGTCCTGGTCCTCGATGTAGCTGCCGTCGGAGAACCGCATCACCTGCACGGCGATCGTGTTGGTGTTGTCATCGCCAAGCCGCACCAGGGCCGTGACGTCAAACTCGCTGGGCATGAACGAGTCCTGCGCGTAGCCCACCGGCTGACCGTTGACCCACACGTAGTAGGCCGACGACGCGCCACCGAACGTGGCGAGGATGCGGCGACCGGTCCATTCTGACGGCAGAGAGAAGTCCCTGAGGTAGCAGCCAGTGGGGTTGTCTTTGACTGGCACGTAGGGAGGGTTGCACACAAGGGGATACCTACAACGGCCAACAGAGAGAGGAAAAGACACACATTCATGAATGGATGGAGTGCCGTGGGGAGCATCAGTTTCTCTCCCCATTTTGTGTCTTGTGGCTGTCTCTAGCATATTCAGGCACCGCGCTAGCTTCATCTGGGACCCACTGGATATCAATGGGCGTCCTTTCGGCCTCTGTCCTGTGTCCTGCCGCGGGGGAATCGGAGCTCTCAATGGTTCCCCGTCTTCCTCCGAGAAGTCAGATAATGGCAGCGAGCCTCCGCCTCGCAGACGGATGCTGAGCTTGATCGTGTCGTTGCTCCGGACGTTGTAGTCTGCTAAAGTGTGGCCGTCTTCGAGCTCACGGTGGGCAAAGACTAAGCACTGGACCTCAGGAGGGATACTCAGCTGGTTGTGCACGTCGGCCTTCACTCTTTCGGTCGTGTAGGAGGGGCTGACACATCCAATGTCATCACCACGTCGCCTATAAGTACAGACCAATTATCAGCAGAAAACGAGCACAATCATGGGCGTCAAATGACTTGGTCTGTCTGTACCATATCTCACTCTCTCACTGACTCACCAGTGAGTGTGGTGATGAAGACTTGACCAGGCAGAGGCCTCTTGTGACGGAAGATTCCCCGGAAGATTCCTCTTGGATCCTCCACAGTAACATCTTCCCATCCCAACAGCTCAAGCCCTATCACGCCTTCTGCCCCAACGAGATGAACCATGGCCCCTCCCCGACTCTCCACTGTGAATGGTTGTATTTGCTGCTGCTGGTCGCCCTGTTGGTCCTGAGCGGAGGGCAAACAAACGTATGCCACTCCATGAATGCCATTCTCATCTGTATGCTCTCTCATTCGCGCACTCTGTCTGTCTGACCTCTCTGCATTTCGTGCCCTCTCTTTCCATGTGCGTGGGTGTGTACATATCTGTATCACCTTGGCGCTCCACGGGGTCTCGAGTTGCTTGAGTATACTAGCTTCACCCCTGAATTCCACCTTGGCGAACTTCTTCTCGGCAGCAAGAGCTACACACTGCTTGCCAATGTCAACGGCTGTCACCACCTTGTAACCCCTCTTCCAAGATGGATGCAGGACAAGTCGCGATAAGACCTTATCAGTGTTGCTAATCTGTTCCCTCTCCACGAATGCCCTTAAGACCGCGGTGTTCTCCGAGAGAAACTCGAAGGCAACACTGACGTCCCCCGTCGCTGGAAGGGTCTCGACTTCTACCTTGCCTTCCATCTTGACAGTCTTGATCTTGCCACAGGATACATCCACACAGGATGCTGGACCGCGGCATTTATCGTTCGGGTCCCAAGGCGGTGGTTGCAAGTCCAAGATATTGCCCTTGCTGTGGAAGATGCCATTTTTGAAGATGCCAAAGTCTCCCAAGCTGAAGCGGTTGGGAATCAAGGGCCAAGCCGCATATGATAATTTCCCGCACACCGAGGAATACGCTTTATTGAAGCACCGCGCAAGCTTCATCTGGGACCCAATGGACATTGATGGGCTTCCTTTCGCTGCGGTCGTTGTTGGCAAGGGGGCTTTCTGAGACGTCGCCTGCTTCGTCTCGGACCCAATGGACATCAACAGGCTTCCTATCGCTGCGGTTATTGTTGACGAGGGGGCTTTCTGAGAGGTCACCGGAGATGTGTCCTCTTCGATGTCGTCTGCCGGTTCGTATTCCTCAGCTGCACCGCCTTCGCCCTCCTCCTCACCACGTAACACAGCATCCATAATCTGACACGGCACCCAGACACAGACAGAGGAGATACGTGTTTGCACCTTTAGGCAGACAGCCGAGTATGTGGGTCTGTGGAGGGGTGTGTGTGTGTATATGGGTCCGTGTGTGTGTGTGTGTTGTTTGATTGGGCAACCACCCTCTCCTATATGTCCTTGTCTTTGGCAAAGGAGGTGCAGAACACCACGCGATCGACGCTCGCAAAGTTATCGGGATCACTCAGCCAGTCACGCACCGTACCGAGGGCAACCTTTAAAGCACGGCAAGGCACACACATATTCACATCTCTTATGCATCGGGCTGACCTTGGCTGCCCGAGCATTGGGGTATTCGAAGATCCCAGTGCTGATGCAGGAAAAAGCTATGCTCCGAAGATCATTCTCCTGAGCATAGCCAGACACCATTCATGTAACGATGGAATGGCACCGAAGAACACCAAACTGTGCCCCACACGTGTGTGCGCGCGTGTGTGTGTGACCTTGAGTATGTTCAGGGATGTCGTGTAGCAGCTCTGCAACAAGGCGGGATTCTCGCCTGAAGCAATCACAACACATCAACCTCTCGCTCTTGCCCACTCAACCCC